GGTTTTTAACTGAAAGAGGGTAGGTTTAGATTAGGCATTAGGAAGAAATTTTTTGCTATGAGTGTGTTGAGGCACTTGCACAGGGTGCCCAGAGAAGCTGTGCCAGCCCCATCCCTGGGGCAGTGTTCAAGGCCAGGTTGGATGGTGCTTGAAGCAACCTGCTCTAGTGGAAGGTGTCCCTGCCTGTGGCAGGGGGTTGGAACTAAATGATTTCAGAGGTCCCTTCCAGCTCAAACCATGCTGTGATTCTGTGATAGTGTTTCCATACCAGCTTCTACTAAACGTAAGAACTTCCAAAGTCACAGAATTGAAGAATAGTTAAGGCTGGAAAGGACCACCTGGGATCATCTAGTGCAACCTCCCTGTGCAGATAGAGTCACCTAGAGCACACTGCTTAGCGTTGTGTCCAGGTGGCTGTTGAGTATCTCCACGGAAGAAGATTCTACAATCTCCCTGGGCAACCTAACCTGTTCCAGTGCTCAGTCACCCTCACAGTAAAGAAGTTCTTCCTCATGTTCAGTCCTTGGTGCCTGCTCCGAATGTGGCTTTTCCTCTTGGGAGAGAGACCCCGTTTGAGATGTAAGTTTGTGTAGAATGGTAGGGTCACCTTCTTCTGAAGGTTTGATGCCCTACCTGAGCCTTACATCTTAGGAGGGGGGTGGAGGTGTTCATACCTTCTGCTCCTTATTCCTTCTCCGGGGTCACCCCAGTCTCTCTTGGGCAGCTTCCTACTGGGTTTGTAACAGCCAGCACCAGCCATGTGTGGATCAGCTTATTGGACTTCAGTGTCTGCTTGCAAAGGAGGCAGCATGAGCATTTAATCTGTTTTTCCTCTTCTTAATTTAACATTATTTCTGCTGAAGAATGTCATTTTGAGGATGATTTATCCCATTAAAAAGGGGGTGGCTTAAATTTTAAAATTAAAACTTTTCCTATTCAATATAGACATGGATAACTCAATAGCTGTAGTGATAACAACCAAATTTGCATTTTTATAGTCATTCACAGTGAGTTATTGTGCAGGTGACAAGCTTTTCCATTTTCTCTAATACAAGAATTAGATCATTGTGTTGGTCTCTGTGGGTATCAATTTGCTGCGAAAATCATCCTTTTTTTGGCAGTTGTGCCGGTTTAGGTTGAAACTGCTCATGTGTGTTGGTGAACAGATCACTCCTTCTACAAGGTAAAGGAAAAGTTAGCTCTTTGAATCTAGCTTTACTTATTTTTAATGTACAAAGAGGAGGTTCTGAAGGGAAGGGACTGAAAATGCTTGGCCATACATTTATTCTGCATTCCTGTCAGCACTTGTGAGGCATTAAAAGCTTCATCTTCTTGCTTCATAAGCATGATTTCACATCAGATTAAAGGAAGGAAATGGCAGATAGAGTGTGTGCAGTCAGGGGGGAAACAAAATGAGCCATCTCACTCTTAAATTTGGCTGACACATAGGCCAAATGGAGGTGGGAGACAAGGATTGGGGATCAGAAGGTTCTTTCTTTTAACTAGTGGGAAAGTCAAGCCCTTACTGTGCCTGTAAGAGGGGCTAGAATTAACCATGGCAATTTGGGCACGGTAGGTGAAAAGCAGCGTTGTGGCAGGTTGGTGGGAATGGTCAATGGTCAACCCCTGTTCTCTGTGGTCATATGTCAAGACAGGACCTTCTCTAGGAGCACTGCCTAGAGGCTCAGCAGCATCTGCAAGGTCTCACCTCTCAGGGATGATGGAGAACCTCTGGTATTGCTTGCATGGACTTTGTGCTCTGCTGCAGAGGCAGCTCCTGGGACTGGGATGTTCAGCATTTGACTTCCCCCCCGCACTGAACCTTCTTGCTTTACTCCCTGGGCATGCTTCAGTCCAGCTCAAATAATGTAGAAAATGCACTGAAAAATGATTGTATTTCTTCTGCATGATCCCTCTTCTGTACTTCAGGATGCTTTCTCTGATGGCCAAAATAAGGGCAGGTAGGAAACCTGCATTCTGCACCTGACTTCTCCAGTGACTCCATTTGTACCTCTGGTGAAGCTAACAAATAATTTTCATTTGCTTGGGTCCACATGTGAAAGCTGGTAACATTGTGTATAGCGGTATTCAGGTTTTCTCTTCTCCCTTAGCCTTTTGTCCTTCAGCATATAAAAACTACTTATTAAACCCAAATAAATGCTGCTGCAGTTCACCTGGGCTCACCAAGCCAGACTCCATGCTTGTTTATATCTGCTGCAAAATGCCTGTTTGCAACTCATGTTACTGTGGGTTTGGGCAGCAGAGTTGGAGTCACCCACTGAGATGTCCTTGGGGCTGGGTTTGCTGATAACTTGGTGTCATTGTTTAGACCCAGGCTGTGACTGAGGGCAGGATGAGGAGAATGAAAAGAATGTAAACCCCAGGGGTTGAGATAAGAACAGATTAATAATGAAAATAAAGTAAAATATGGTGATAATAAAATCCCAGCAATAATGATAATAACAGGAAACAACAAGAGAAGAAATGAAGGCTCAGAAAACGCAAGTGATGCACAAAACAGTTGCTCACCACCCACTAACTGATACCCAGCCTGACCAGAACAGTGATTGTTCTCTCCCAGCCAACTGCCTCCAGTTTATATACTGAGCATGACATGGTGTTTTATGGAATACTGCTTTGGCTAGTTGGGGCCAGGTGTCCAGTCTCTGCCTTCTTCCTGGCTTCCCCTCCTCACTGGCAGAGTATGAGATTAAAAAGTCCTTGATCAGGGTAAGCACTGCTCAGCAGCAAGTAAAACATTGCTGTGTTATCAGCATTGTTCTCAGGCTGAAGCCAAAACACAGCGCTGCACCAGGTACTAGGAAGAGAAATAACTGTTATAGCTGAAACCAGGACGCTTTGGGCATCCTTGGATCCTACCGTCTTCCCAGCCGTGCTGGGTCTTCTGCTGGTGGAGTCAAAGGGAAGGCATGACCAGTCTGTGCAGGAGCTGGCCCTGTGTGAGCAGGCCGGTGGGTACTGCCATAGAGCAGCCCCAGCGAGGGCTTTGCTCAGAGCCTCTGATCTGTGCACCAAATTAAGAAGTGACTAAAAATCCAGGATTTGACTGTGTCTTTGCTTGGGTCTCAACCCTTCATTCAAAGAGTTGTTTTCTTTCCCTTAACCTGAATTAACTTTCAGAGGTGGGCAAGCCCCACTGTGTGGGTTGATCAGGAAAGTTGTTCAGCCCGTTTTTCTCTCTTGGGAGTACAGAACAGCTTTCCCATCACCAAAATTCCTGGTGTTTTATAAACTAGCTCCTAGCAACTTCTAAAGCACCTGAGAAAGAAGGATCACTGGCAGTGTGAGTGTTTTATCTACAATGAAAGCAAACACCATTCATATCTGAAGTCTTTTTTTTTTTTGTGGCCAATTGATAAAGACCTTGCAAACCAGATCTCTGCTTGTTCCTGTAAGATGTGAAAAGGTCCTTTGTCAGCAGTGCATTGTGGTGGAATGAGCTTTATCTTCTGTATGTAGCTATCAGCTTGGGCTTTCCTCCTTGCAGTCAAAGAAAATCCTAATTAGAGCCTGAGGAAAACCTAATTAGAGCCCTGAACACTTCTAGAAGTCTTGCAGCGTATGGGCAAAATGTGTTTATTGGGCTCCTCCTAGCCCTTGTTGCTCAGCCTTTTAGGAAGAGCATCTCTATAATTTGATGTAAGGGAGTTGCTTGGGTTTCCTTATGTTTAGAGATCTACAAGAGTTGTAATCACTAGTTGTATACAGATTTCTCCATGGATGTTGAGTGCGCAGCTCTGGAGCACAAGCAGTGCTCAAGGTCACCCAAGAAGATGGGGTATTAAGTTGCTGTGCTCCAGCGGTGCAGTCTGTTTGGTGCTTCTAGAGATGCCTGAAGATCCAACAAAACCTGCCCAGTACCTGGGTAACCTGGAGCAGCCCCAGTGGTGCTTGCCCTCTGCGCTGCATGGGCCTGCGCTGGCACTGAGCAAGGAGAAAAGCTGTGGTTGATGTACCCCAAGTCTTGCGTTCTGCATTGCCCCTTTGGGGCAGCGTCAAAGGGAATGTTGATATAAAGGCTTTCCTCTTGGTCAGCACAAGCACCTGGGCTGCGGGGGCTGCCAGGTCATGCCTGGGTGCAAGTTAAAGATGAACTCCTTCAGCATTTAAAATGCTAACTGATAAAATAGCAAAGCCTTTCAGTCAGGGTTCAGAGTGTTGGGTCAGAATGTCCTTTAGGGGGTAGGTCTATGGACAGATGCATGTTACCAATTAAAAAAATAATACAAAAAGCCTCAGTTTGGCTTCTTGTGAGTGTAATGTGAGGGTGTGTGTTTCGAAAGCACATAACTGATTACACAAATCACAGATGGGCTAAGTCAGTATTAATGATGGTTGGATGACAGTGAAAAGCAGCCCTGGCGCATTGCAGGGATGTTCTTGTCATGACTAACCCCTCTCACTCTCACCCCAGAGGAATTTTTTAGTGCCCAGCACAGGCAAGCACTGAAATGGCAGGTTTGCAGAAGTTTTCAAATCTCTCCCCAGCTGGCAGCAAATACAGGAATTGCAAGTATTTATTGGTTTAAGGGGGGGCAAAATAACCTCAGAGCTATAAAGTAAATTTGACAATGAAGGTTTTCTTAGGGAGTCTTACTTTATGGTTACGTGAGTCAAATGTATTGAAGCCTGGCAGAGGAAGAGGATTTAATCTACAGGTGCTGTCTCTTGCTTGATGGTTTCCTGCTTCTAAAATTACTCCCAGTTCTCTGGAATCGGGGCTGAAACTAGTTTCAGCTTTCAGTTTGCAGACAACCTGCCTCACCACTTCAGCAGGCTGGATTTGTAAGGGTTGGGGGCAGCAAATGTGAGTGCTTATGAAGGTTCTTGTCTTGGCTGCCAAAAGTCCATTTTCTACTTCTAAATTATTTATAACTGAAACTTCACTTCTTTCTCTGCTTGGGGGAAATGCTGAAGCCACTGATGCTGAAATTTGGCTTTGATCTTTCTTTCCCTGTCCCTTTCTACCCTCGTTGATTGGAGGGGACCCTGACCAGGGTGAGGGATGCTGGTGGACCTGTGCTCATCCTGCTGCTTTTTACCCCAGGACTGTACTTTAGAGGACATTGACTTCTGTGCTTCTGACAGCAGCAAGAGCCAGCCTTAACAAAGCAAATTCATTGTGGATCTCAGTCATTAGGTTATGCTAAAACCTTCGGCCTCTTTTGCAGCATGCGTTTTTGCAGAGGGTCTGTCCCTCTTTTCAGGTGCTCTCTAACAGCATCTCAGTGGGTTCCATTTGTGTCCAAACTTTGTGTCCTAATTGCAGGAAATGTAATTGGAGATACACAAAACCATACTTTTGTTTCTGTAAGTAAACAAATAATTATATATTTTTAAAGACCTGGAATAATCCTGTTAGCATGTGTTGAATGGTCCTCTATTGCTTAAAAATGTTGCTCGGCACTTTATATTGACAAAAACATCCCAGTAATTACTTTCAGAATAAAGATCTTTCTTAATATGTGATCTTTGTTTTTTCCCTGAGTGCCTGCATCTGCAGGTGCTAGCTTATTATGCACAGAAAATATTTAACTATCTGCTGAATCACTGTGCTGCTTCAGGTTGCGGTGAACTATCACAAGACGTATCCTTGCTAAAGCCAGCAAAGCAAGAGTATCTGCTTGTCTCCTGAATCCTTTGCATTGCTTTGAGGGGCTCTGCAGAGCTGAAGGTGTTGACAAGCTGTTTTCTTGGGCTCCCATCTGCTGAGCAGCATTATGTGGATTAATACTGAGGAACTCGCAGTGAAATTTGTCTCATGCCATGAAAATGTAAAGCCTCCAAAGCTGGCTGGCATCCCAAGGTTGTGAGAGGCCCTTGGAGGGGCTGGTGGTGAAGGTGGCAGGATTTGCACTGTCCTGGAGCTGTTAAGTGGACATGACCTGAAGGGTTTGTAATGTTTGCAGCAGTTCAGAAGCACAAAATACTGGTTTGTGCAGTATTTTTGCCCTGAGGGTGTTTCTTGATTTGGAATCAATCTCCCACCAGCCCTCCTGGTTTTTGTCTTGCAGTATTTTGGGGATGCTGTGGCTTCGCCCTCTTTGCTTTTGCAGGAAACCATCATTGCACCACTTCCTTTTTACCTTTTGCAGTGTTAAAGCCAGGAGATCAAATTAGAGACCCAAAGTTCTGGCAGCAAAAAGGGGCCTGAGTGTGTGTTCTGCTGCTCTGCAATAAAAATCCTACATATTATTTTACAGGTTATCATAAGCAAGTTGGGGGATGCGGCACAGATGCATCCTAGCCCTGGTGCATCTGGAAGGTGGACCCTTGCCCATTGTCCAGTTGCGAGGTCCATCTCCGTATCAAACCCCCAGTTTTCATGGCCAAAGGAGGCATTCAGTGGGATGCTGAATGATGGTGGGTGATGGTGGGACCCCCATGCTGCCCCATCTCCTTGCGGGCTATGGGGATGCTGAAGTGCCATCAACTTCCTTGCTGTCATCATCGCTTGGTTTTCATTAAGCTTTTTGCGAAGGAGCAGCTCTTTCTGCTGGGGTCCCTGTGCAGTTTTATCCAGGGTTGCATTTACGTCAGCATCAGGTGGTTTTTATTTAACCTTTGCCCTGATTAAAAATTAAATACTGAGGTACTAGGAAGAGAAGTAGTCTCCCAGATAAACATTTTTTCCCTACGCTCCTCTGTAATTCATGGGGGAGCTGGCTTACCCGGCCTGTGGGTGACTAAGGAGGAAATTCTTTTTTGGTTAGGATAATGCTGACAGTTCACTGGAATTTTTTTTATCAGGGGTTTATCACTTCCTCCCTTCGAATTCCTAGCTCTTATGTGCAGTGCAGGAGAAAAAATAATGGTGACCGCAAGTTATGGAATTTGCCTTCTGTGGAAAAGATGCTGAACAGCTAAATGGTGCTCTCAGGTCTGCTATAGTTTTCATGGGGAATTTGCTTCATATCCAGTTATATAAACATGCTGGGTAAGAGTCATGAATATTCTAGCAGCTACCATCTTTCAAATGTGGGATGTTTTTTATGTTGGAGTTAATTAATGCTCATACCTCTTGAATATAGGTGAATGTAAGCCTGTTCATCATACAGATGGGGAGGAGGTTTGGATTTATGGCAGGTCTCTGAGAGATGGCAGGGTCAAAGTTAAGTTTATGTGTAAAGAGTTTCTGGTTCATCTTGTTAATCTCCATGCCTCCCTTTTTTATAGAGGGGATCTGGATGTATGTCTCTAGAGAACACAGATGGAGTTTGGCCAGAGAGACCCTGCCTTTCCGTTAAACACGTGTTTATTCTTGCAGTGTTTGCCTCCCGGTGGTGTTAAAATGATCCTTCTGCAAAGGCTTGACATGCCGCTGAAAAGCTTTGACACTGCAAAGCATTGTTTACTTGTGAAAGTATTATTATATTTTGAATATCTATTATTCATCTTGTGTGCTAAAAGTGACATTATAGCTTGAAATTGCTCTTAGATTTCAGAGCTTTGAGGGGAAGCTGGTTTTTGTCCCTGACTCCTGTGACAGTGCTTTACCCTTTGTATCTCTGTAGTCCCCTTTTATGAATAGTGAGTGACAGCAGGAAAGTATAAAAGAGCGCAGAGGAGCTGGTTTTGATGTTCATAAAAGGCTTTGATAAAAGATGCAGCACGTAGACTTGATATTATTTCCTATTTTTAACTTCTTAAGAGCATAAAGCGCTCAGATCCAATATTTATGTAAAGGGGGGAAAAGGGAAGCTGTATTTCTTCTTTCTTTTTTTCTTCAGTTTTCTTTTTTAGGACCAGATGAATTCAATTGGAAAAGTGTCTCTTCTGTGCCCCAGTAAAATTTTGCTTTCTTCCATAAAGCATCTATGTCTGTCTTCCATGAAGCATCAGCAAAGGTAACCCCCTGGCATTAGCGGTGTAGAGAGACCAGCTGCAGTTTCAAAGGCTCCTTGGTCATAGGCTTATGCCTTCAACCTCATGGTTCCATCTGTCTCCCGTGGACCCACCAGCTGTGGGGTGTGCATGGCAAGGCGTGCGCTTCCAATAGTAGGTCTCTCCCCCTGAGACCCAGAGAAATAAAATATGGGAAAGCCATGGCAGCTCTCCTTCTTTCTCTAAGAGTCAGATCACTGTAAAGGCATCTTTGTAATGAGTAGCTTTGCTTGCTCCATGGAGATGAGAGCAAGGTAATTGGAGTTTTCCTGATGAAAGTGCTTGTCATTGTTTCCAGTCTCCCATGTTGCAGTCTCTTCTTTAATCTTGCTGTCAAGCATTGGCGTGCTTGCGGTGGGCCTGTGTACTAATGCATATTCATGTGCATGTACATATGAGCACGTCCATAAAACATAAATCAGGTGCTTTCCTGTGTGCGTACGCATATGTGTGAGGAGGGGTGTGTAGCACATGCATGTATGACATTGGCATGGCCATTTATGCAGTTGGGTTCTTCATCCGTGCAAGGGCCTTCATGCTTGCTATGGAGACTCCTAATGATGGCAGCATGCAGACCTGACCTTGAGATCCACCTGATGACAAGTCATTCTCATGCTTGATACCACATTTTTTACTTTATTGGGGTGAAATGCATGAAACATCCTATTCAGGGGAGAACAGGTCCTGTTGTCCCCCAGAGAACTCCAGGACACAGCAGTTTTGCCAAGTCCCACCTTGCTGCAGTGCTGATGAAGAGTATTTTGATGGGATGAGCACAGTGATAGCTGTCAGTGAGTTCCTCAGCAGCTTGCATTCATCCAAGTGGCTGTTCAAATCAAGTGTTGGGTTTGAAGTAGATGGACTCATGCAAAGACATCCCAACCGGTCACCTATCTGAGGTTAATAAGCACCTCCTGCATAGTTCCTCATGCAGGCACTTTTATGTGAAACCTTAAAAATAAAGGGAATTACCAGCCTTGGATGGTCATCAGAAGATGCTGAGAAGTGTGCTTGCATGGTGACTCCCTGTACCTGCGGTTCCTCTGGGAGCTTGCAAAGCTGGACACTGAGCATCTACCATGTGAGGTGCTCTTTTGGGATGTGCTGGCATAGCATTATGCCTGCTTGATGACCTCGCCTCTTGTGTACACCTTTGTGGTGGTGAATCCTCAGTTATAGCCCAAATTGAAGACTCCAGGAGTGTTTAACTGCGCCCACACATGACTTTATAGGGTGAGTAAATTAAAATCACCACACCTGAAGTGCAGTCTAGATTTTTCTTGGCACTCGGTAACACCGTGCACAAGAAGGTGCTGTCATCCTCTGCTGTGTGACTTGCTGGACCTGGCTAGCTTATAGCAGAAGTGTGTTGGCACATACAGGTGTCTTTTCAGCTTCTGACAGGTTGTCCAGTTAGCCAAAAAATTTGGGTATGCTCAGTTATTCTGTAAGGTGTGGCAGGACTTCATTGTGCCATTGCAGTGGATGCTGTGTTGAACTGGAAAAGCTATTGCTGAATCCAGGAGAGACATAAGGGACAGGTCAGGGTAGGACTTACTGAGCCAGAGTGACACCATGCCATGTCTCACTGTTTGATAGCATGGCCTTGGGGCACCCGGAGGTGTTTGCACCCTCCTTTGCTGCATGCTGTTCCAGCTGAGGGTTTTCGGTTGTGTTCCCAGAAGCAGTCCATCCACCTTGCTGCAAGCTGGGGAGGAGCAGGCTCTGGAGCACACAGAGGCTCCCCAGAACCTGGGGCTCCATGGCATTGAACAGAGCTGTTCCAAAGCATCTGATGAAACATGGACATTGGCTGGCGGGACCTGTAGTTCCTCTTCTTTTGAAAGAAGCTGGGAAAGGTGCCTCAAAACAACCACTGAAGAATGTGTCCAGATGAAAGGTCTGGTGAGCATCAGGGTCTCCTCTGCCATGTTTTCAGGCTCTTCTGTAATCAGCTGTCATTTTGGGATCTAGGCATACTGGATCTCAGTGAGTATGGACTGAAACTTAAACAAACACTGACTCTTCTATAAATATTTAGCTCACACTGTTTAGGAGCTGCTGGGAGCAGGAAACAAAATAAATTTGGAGTTCATGACTGTCTAAAAAAGCTGCCGGAGGATGGCACCCGGTCACCAGATTGGCTGGCATGTAGTTTTGAATAGCTATTTCTCCCTGTTTTTTTCCTGAAGAAAACGATGTCTTTAAGCATCCTTTGCAGACACATGAGGTTGCATTCTTCCAGTGTTTCCATGG